TCTATCTATCTATCTATCTATCTATCTATCTATCTATCTATCTATCTTTATATATGGCTTTGCTAAATAAATGAATAATGTAAATGTAATTGAAAGGACTATGTAAACTGCTCAAAACCTGTTTTGTAATACAGTATGTGAGAGATACTCATATCCGGAGAGAGGGGGTGGAGTTTGATGGAACCATAGAAAGTAAGGGAGAGATTACAGGCAATGAATATGAATATGCTAATGAGGTGCTCTGTCACCCCTTTATGAAATGTGAAGGAGTTCCTGGCTTCAGTTTCAGTGGCAGCCGGCCATTGGTTGGGAAAAGATTGGTCCCACCCCTGGAAGCCTTTATAAAGCTCATCTTGCCATGTCCTGGAAACATTTGAACTGTCTTAGGCTTCAAGGGATTCAGAGCAGGGAATAGCTTTGTAGAATGTGACCCCTGTGCCTCTACTAGGGCATCTAGATTGTAGGACAGGGATTTTTTTTAAAAAAATCTTTTCCTCCATAGCGAAGCACTATTTGACCAATAGAAGACACCAGTGTCGAACAATTCAGAAAGTTCAGCCATTCAAGGTAGAGAGTAGACATATTCTCTATAAAGATACAGAAAGGCAGTATTTAAAGTGAGAAGCAGTTTCAAGGATCTAGGATTCTGGCAACAGAGTGAAGAAACCGACTATGGTGTCAATGTCCTGGCAGCTGAGAGTTGAGCTGCAGGGAAGAGCAGATGTGGGGAGGGAGGCCAGTGGGGTGACCCCCCCCCCCCCACAGTGATGCTGTACTCAGAGGGGGGCCACATGAGGAATCCAGGAGAAGAGAAAAAAAAATTAGGACCCTAAAGCACCAGAGGTATGAGTTGCCTTGTCCACATGTGTGCCTTATTATCATTATACTCTAAATTTGTGCCCACTCTTCCCACAGGTGCTGTGTGTATCTATGGGAAAGTATGCCCCAGGTTTATGGGGATAGTGTTTTGTAGCTACTGTTCTTACTATGCCACCTTAGTAAATGCCTTTGCTTTGAGCTAATTGTATCTACTGGATGACTATTAAAGGTAAGCTAACCAGTGGGGCTTAGGAACCATAGCTGTAGGAGTATAGACCCACAGAATACCTTAGAATATGGAGGAGAAAGTAGCCACTCTTCTGGGGACCCAATCTTGAAACTTGTGATTATTAAGTTGGGAATGTATCCCAGAAAGGGTGGCACATACATATAATCGATGTGCTAATTAAGAATTATTCATTAAAGAAACCCAACTTGGCAATGGCTTGGTTAGCCTGATTCAAGTTATAACTATGATAACTAATAGGTTTGCGAAGTATTTTTGAATAATATTTTACTTCTTTCCTAATTACACGTAAAAACAATTTTAACATTCATTTTTAAAATTTCAAGTTCCAAATTCTCTCCCTCCCTCCTTCCCTGAGATGGTAAGCAATTTGATACAGATTATACATGGTAAGCAAAGTATTAAAACTTCATTTCTTTAAGAATGACTGTAATTCATCCTTTTCACCACTTTTAGATTGGTCTCCTTCCCTGGTGAAGGTTTGATTGGCAATGTGGCCCAGTTGAAGGAGCACTGGTTCTAGCCTCAGAGAACCAAAGTTTTAATCCCACCTCTCATCTGTGTAACCCTGGGCAAATGACTTAACAATACCAGGCTTCAATTTCTTCATCTATCAAATTAAGGAGTTGGAATAGATGCCTCTTTCCAACTCCAGATCTGTGATCCAAATGGAATTAATCATCCTCCCCTACCCCCACCTTAATTTTAGGACAGAGAGGCTACCTGGCAAAGTGTATAGAGTGCCAGGCCATGAGTCACGAAGACCTACATTCAAGTATGATCCTGGGCGCGTCATCTGACTTCTTGGTGTTCCGTGGACCTCTCTAAGACTATAAATTACGGACCAGTGGCAGATCTTCATTAGTGGTTGGGTGAAATCACGGATTCCTTAGCCCTACCTACCTTCTTAGGTAAATAAATAAATAGTGTTGACTGAACTCTCCCTATCATTCCCTACAATGACTGAGCTCTTGAACCCTTGCTATAAAGCACCACACAAATTATCCTGAGATTTTAGGTGCCATAACTAAATTCATGGAGGAGAAGAGATAATGTGTTACTTGGGTACTGGGGTACATTCACCTCTGCTAATATTTTCCTGCCTTTTCTAATAGGCTGTAAAGCGGTTCTTGAAACAAGAATGCAAATGCCATGGGGTGAGTGGATCCTGCACCCTGAGGACCTGTTGGCTGGCCATGGCTGACTTTAGAAAGACGGGAGATTATCTTTGGAAGAAGTACAATGGGGCCATCCAGGTAGTCATGAATCAAGATGGCACTGGTTTCACTGTGGCTAACAAGAGATTTAAGAAACCAACTAAAAATGACCTGGTCTATTTTGAGAACTCTCCAGACTACTGTATCAGGGACCGAGATGCAGGTAAGCCCACCTCATGCAAGTGTCACCATTCAGATTCCCAGATGACACCATTCAAGTAAAGTCCCATATCTACAACTGAATCTTTTAATAATTTTGCTTCATTGCTTCTGTCAGGCCTAAAGCTCACATAATTTATAAATTTCATATTTAAAAGTATAGAAAGATTTCCCAAATCAACTGAACAGAGAAACGTGGACAATGATTCATAAAATCTATATTGCCACAATGAACTAGAGTTTGGGGGAAATGAAGGCATATTGTATAGTGTTTAAATTCAAAAGGTCCTTTAGATCAAGGGAGTCTAACTAGACATTTTTAATATGTGTATATGTAGTTGTAATATATACATGTCAACTTATACAGGGCATGAGCAGAACAATTACATTCTCTTTTTATTGGAGGATCATGGACAAACATACGTGCCCACTCAATAGGTAAATATTTCTTGTGTGCTGTCAAATTAATTCAGAGTAACCAAGTGAAAGATACTAAATGGAGACTTACTAATGACATTCTGAATAATGAGTAAGCCAAAGAACAAATCATAGAAACAACTAATAAATATGTGAATGAGATTGATAACAATGAGTTAACATACTAAATTTCTGGGACATAACTGTATCAGTCCTCAGAGGAGAAAGCATAGAATAGAAATATAATTAACAAAATTTTTAAGGGGAGGAATAATGAACTGAGTATGTAATTAAAAAAACAACTAGAAATCAGTGTTTCAGAGTACTTAATATAATTCAAGGAATTACAGTGAATTTGCTCTCTGAAGGCAAATTACTTGATATTTCTATCATGTCACACTGGGATTTTTAGCAGATTCCTTTCCCATTTCTTCACACAATAGCAGATTCATCACTGTCGACATAGATCTGGGTAGCTACGGATCCATTTTGGCATTACCTGTGTTATCTTGATTCAGACCAAAGATTTGAATTGGGTGACTGCAGTAGGCATGTGAGGAATTAGAGGGAGTGATTTTTAAAAGCAAGACAGTAAAATACAGGAGTAAGTGGCTTAATACTCGGTTAGACAAAGGCTTTTTCTACACATATAGATGTCCATTTTAAATGAGTTGGCTAGTCAACTCATTTAATTCAGTTAAATTCAGTTAATTCAGAAAGAAATAAGATAAAATGGGTTGGTTGGTTGAAATCAATTGATTTTTTTCCCCTTTTAATTGACTTTTCCTTTTTTGGCCCTGAGTCTATACCTAACTCATTGTTTAATTCCCTTTTTCTTTTTTTTATTTTTTAAAGTCACTTCAGTAAAAAAAAAAAAAAAAAAAAAAAAAAACAAGTGAACAATGGTTGTATGGATTCTTAACTCAAATGCTGCAGCTTTCAGGACTACTTTTCTGTCCCCACCAGGTTCCAGTCATCTTCCAATTTCAACTTATCTTGTATGTTCTAATTTTTCCAGGTTTTTCTCCTATTAGAATGTAAGTTCCCTGAGGGCAGGAACTATTTTTGTTTTCATTTTTTCTTTGTATTGATAGTAGCTAGCAAAGCCTGGCACTAAGTATGTGCTTAATAATTCTTGTTGATTGATTGGTTGATCATATAGACCAAGTAACACTTTTCAAAATTGGCTTAATTTTTCACTTTTCTATGAGAAATGTGGGTACAGCCTCAACTGGCAACTGACAAACTCTATGTTTTTAGGCATTGCTTAAGCAGGCAGATACAGACACAATAGACCTATGTGGAGACTGACTTGGGGCAGCTAGGTGGCAGAGATGGGTAGAGCACTAGGCTTAGAATCAGGAAGGCTCATTCTCATGAGTTCAAACCTAGCCTCAGACACTTCCTAACTGTATGACCCCGGGCAAGTTACTTAATTCTGTTTGCCTCAGTTTCCTCATCTGTAAAATGAGCTGGGGAAGGAAACGGCAAACCACTCCAGTATCTTTGCCAAGAAAACCCTAAACAGGGGTCATAAAGACTGGACACCACTGAAAAATGACTCAACAGGAGATTTTGTTGTTTCTTTATCTCTGAGCATTTCCTAGTAGTCAACCATTATTGTGTCAAGTACTACCTTTCTGCCTTAAAACTATCCATTTAGAAAATAACAATAGATAACATTTAAGATTTGCAAAGTGCCTTAAATAACATTATTTGGTGTAAAACAGAGGTGTCAAACTCACCTCCACCAAGTGGTCCTCAAAAATCCTAAATACAGCCTGAACCAAATTACGATGTAATTGAAGAATGTACAAAAGAAATAAAAAATACAAAACAACATATATAATGTCAATTTGTGGTTTTCTAAGTCAACATAAAACTAGCATAGATCCAATTCTATTTGAATTTGACACCACTGTGTAGTGGATAGGAGAGAAAACCTGAAAGTTAGGAAAACCTGGGACCAAGTCCCACTGGTTCTGACACATATTGGCTGTTTGACTCTCAACAAGTCACTTAACTTCTCTGTGTCCCAGGAGGGTGATGTCAAACTCTAATAGAAACCAGGAGACCACTAAGCCGTACATGTAGATCTTTGCGCTTGTGTTGACTTAGTTTTAAAATGTATTATCTATGTTTTATTGTATTCGTATTTATTTTGTTAAACATTCCCAATTACATTTTAATCTGGTTTATGCAGCACTTGGGAGCAGTGAGTTGCCTATTCAACGCCGTGTTTCATAATTATCTTCCCAATTAGTGATGCTAGGGAGGGGCTTCGAAGCATTTGCCACAGATGGTTAGATCAGCTGTTGCTTCATCTGGGCCCTGGTGTTCTGCTGGTCCTTGTGACTGTCTTCACGGGGGCTGCGTAACCCACGGCCTATGCCAATCTGTGCTGGTGAACACATTGCCTCTGCCGCTATCCGCTAAGGAGGAAATAGCCCCATTCTTGAAGGATACATCTACCTCACGGCTGTGAATAGTTTCCCTTCTGCTAGGTCTGGTGCTAATCTCTTTTTGGTAATCACTCACCTTTGAGGCCTCACCCACAGAGCAGCTGATGCCTCTCTGTCCCAGTTGCTAATCTAATATTGACAAACCTGGGCTGGGGCACTTCACCCGCTCCCTCTTGCTAAGGGGCCCCTCTACTTTAGGTCCAGGTCTGAAGTCCATCCTGGGTTCGACCCTAGAAAAAGCCTGGTCTCTAATGAGAGGGGTTAGGTTCCCTTTTCTCACACTCCTGGCTCATTAAACCCTATCCTGGTGCCCCAGAGGTAAATTATTTAAAGTTTTGTTTTAGAATCATGTCCAGAGTTTCCCTCAAAAAGTGTGGGAGTAGGGGAGTAGAAAGGTACACAAGATGCAACATGAATCAAGTATGGGCCAACTACCCTTAAAAGAAATGTTAAGGGGCAGCTATGTGGCACAGTGAATAAAGAACCAGCCCTTGAGTCAAGAGGAACTGAGTTCAAATCTGGTCTCAGACACTTGACACTTAGTAGGTGGGTGACCCGGGCAAGTCACTTAACCCTGATTGCTTTGCCAAAAAAAAAAAAAAGGTTAAGCGCAAAAGATTCTCTCAAGTGTACATTGACAGTGAGACTTTTAACTAAATAAACCACAGTGCTAACTACTGCTGTACCAGTCCAGAAGGTTGATACTTCAATTCATCTACATATGAAGCAGTTTGCAGCACAGCTAACTAGGCATTTTACATTTCACCTTTGCTCTGCACTGTCTTCCTCAAAGTTCATGTCCTCTAGCAAGCCTGGCCAGGGATCCTCTTTTTTTTTTTTTTTTTTTTTTTTTTTTAGTGACTGTTGTCACTGATAGAACAGCTGTCCTTGCTGCTGGTTGGTTCTCCTGATTGGACCCAGGACCTTGAAACCTCTCAAACTCACAAGCCCAATTCCAAGTCTGATCACATTCGCCTCAAGAACAATGTGCAGTCATCTAGAAAAGTGAATAGAAATTGGAAAAGGCACCCAGGGGACTAGCCCCAAGTGGGACTAGATGAATTTGGGTTCCACGTGGAGCCGCAGGAATGGGGGAGAGCACAAGCCATCCCCTCACTCCCATTAGGGGTAGAGTAGAAAAAAAAAAACAAGAGAGCAGGAAAAAAATGAGCAAGAAGCTATCTCTCCTTTTCCAAAGGTCCACTGAGTCATTGGCTCCTCTGGCTCATCAGTGAATAAGGGCATCACTTTATTAATTGTAAACACCCATGTCCTTCTACCCCAAGCCACCACATGGCCAGAAGCAGCCAGGAAGTCATCTTCTCAGATGTGCCCAAATGCTGAGTCATGAATGCTCCTTGAAAGTTTCCAGGGGAGCTCTGGATCACTCTGACTGGGATAGTCCCATAGGCCAAGTCATCTTTCATTACTCTAAACTGACATCATGCCACAAACAGATGAATCTTCTATAGCATTTCTTTGGTCCTTCCGTTCTCTGTATCAGAGCCTTTTAGGTAGTGGGTAGGAAGCTGAAGGGTCACATTGATCAGCAAACCGCTGGAGAGATTAGCAGAGGAAAGTTGGGGCCAGGCTGAGAAAGATTGGCTCTGAGATATTAATTTGGGTCAGGTGAAGGCTGATACTCTCAAATAAGCAAATTTGCTAGCTGTTCTTAGGAATCTGTAGGGAAAACCCAAGCCCAGTCAGATAGGAGAATCTGAGCTGAACCAAACACACTTTCATACAAAGGAAAGACAACAGAGCAGAGAAGGAGAGATGAACAGAAAAGCCGTATGTTCACTTTCCTAAGCGGGCTGAGACAGGATCATAGGCAAGGTGAAGGGGAACTGGGAAAGTCTTTTACTGTGAACATAAGTCATCCAACTACAAAATGAAGTTACTCAAAGGGCTTTTTTTTTTGTTCAAAGGAGCTAGGCTATTTTAGAGATGGCATCATCCAAATGTCTCAAAGGAGTCCACAGTCCAGATACTATCTCTCTTCCAGGAAGGCCTCCCTGAGATCCAAAGTTTGGGTTTCATGGAATAGCAGCAATAGAAAATGTAAGTGTGAGGACGCAGTGGTTTTCCTAGAGTTCCCTGGTCCAATCCTCTGTGCTCTGCCTTC